TTTTACCATTTTGATATCATAGTCAGTTGAATAAGATTAGTGAAACACGACAAGAACTCAAGAATTGAAAGAGTGGTGCAGAAAATAGGGAAAGAAAAAGCTAAAAAAGTTCCAAAATAAAAGAAATTATCTGTTTTAACCATATGATACCTTTCTTTTTTTTTGTCTAAAAAAAAGTCGTTCTTTTTCAGAAATTAATATTAACAAATAAATTTAAAAAAAAAGTATGCCAAAATTCAAAAACTTCAAAAAAAAAAAGTAAATAAAAGTAAAACTGTGTATTTTTGCTCTTTTTTTTTTCTTCGTTTATATCTGTCCTTCATCTAATGTACTGAAATAGAAGATAAACAAAACGAAACGAAAACTTTGTATAACAGAATAAATTTTATGAAACGGGAGAAATCCGTTTGAAGAAAGCAGCTTTTTTCAATGTTTTTTGGTGTGTATCTGAAAAAAGGAGGAAAAAGTTATTGCAACAACAACACCAACAACAACTTTATTGTTGAATGTATAGAATAGGGTTGCTCTATAGATAAAAATAAAAAATGAATAGAAATTTCAATTAACAATTGTTAAACAGAAATAAATTGAAATTATTGAACTTGTAGGACACATATAGATATGCAGAGCACACACATTTACATGCATAAAGATACGTATAAATTACGCAGTGACAGCTGTTTTATCATCCGGTAAACAGTATCAGTTATGTGAATGTTGTAAGCAGAAAAAACTGTGATAAAAATTCTGTTTTATTTTATATTGTTGGAAAACACTATTAAAAACTTACTAAATAAAAATTTCTAGATTGGTTTTGGAGCACTGAACAGCGATGAACCGTTGATCCAGTGCACGACTTCACTACTGTTCAGTTTTTTCGGCTTCTTCTTCTGCTGCTGCTGCAGCTGCAGCTGCAGCTGCGGCTTCTTTACGTTCAATGTCTTCTGTAAAATAATGTTAAAAATTGACAGCTTAAAATCTGCCAATGAATTGTCAATTCAAAAAACTTTCTTTTTGGTGTTCTGATATGTTTAAAAGACAGAAGTTGTTATTGTTGAAATGTGCTTTGAACTATTTGCTTTGTTTGGTAATGTTTTAGCGTTTTTTTTATTTCTTTCGTCTATGATAATTTTTTCCATATTTTACATTTTAATTTTCCACCTGAACAATCGATCTTTGAAGTTTAAAAGGCAAAAAACGAAAATAACAATTTATTTCCAACTTCTTAAAAAAAAATTTTTTTTTTTATTTTTTTTTTCTTTTCTTATATATAGCTTAACGTTCATTAATGCTAAACATGTATGTAGAGGAAGACAAAACTAACTTGTTGTTCATATGATAGCAATAACAAAAAAGCTTCTACAAAAAATGAAAAAGAAACACATTTTATAATTCATAAATTCAATAAATAATCCTGAAAAACAATATAATTTTCTGAATAATTCTTTTTTTCATTTTTTTTAAACTATCTTTTTAATGCTGATCTCATGCGAAATGTAGGAGAGAAAAATTTTTTTACTATGTATATGAATAACTTAAACAATAATCTCTAAAGACTCTAGC